AGGTGAGCACTACAGCAGTAGTGTCTAGTGCTGTAGCTTACACACGCGTGTGTACCGCCTAGGGTAGAGTGCAGCGAGATGCTTGCCTGTTGGCCGATCAAATACTTGCAGGTCGAATCCGCTGTTGTTGCCTGTTGACCGATCGGAGCTGCGAACGGAGCTCATTCGTGGGTGTAGTCACATAAGGGTTAAGCAGGTCGGATCCGCTGTTGTACGCACAGATAGGGCTACACTATGTTTTCATGCGCATGCATGACTCGGCCTCCCTTGTAAACAGAGCTTGTCGGGGATTGCCAAGCAGAGGTTCTTGTTGGGAATGGATCGGAGAGATGTGTATCCCAAGCTTGCATACCCGCATGAAAAACGATCCAGCAGGTTTCCTTGAATTGGAATCCTAGTCGTCCCTGCCGAGACTGCAGCACATCGCGTGTGTGAGAACCTTACTGCTGCTGTACAGCAATACATTTTGGAGCGGGTGTGTCACATCGCCATTATTTCATGAGATGTCTTAGTCTGGGCAAATCGATCGAGGGGAGGCCAGCACAGCCACAGACAGTAGTGCGTCTTGGGGGAGTTGGCGAACGCTTTTATACAGGTTCCACAAGACTTCCGTATCGTTGGGTCATCCAGTAGGGTAGTCATACCCCCTACCGCGATTGGTCCTATGTACTGCGCGCGATAGAACCGAGCTATCGCAGTCATCCGTTGCTCCTCCACCCAACGATGTAATACACCTCGGTAAAGATATATAGTCTACTGATGATGTGTGGAAAAGAGGGTTTCGTCCTTGACAGACGTTGGGGAGTTTCAACCTTGATGAAGGTGTTCTCCACAGATAGATAGATGGACTTTTTTTTATTGCCATGTCACACATGATGAACACGCGCCCCCGAACGCTATTGACACCAACGGGAAGGATGCCTAGGTTGTGCTGGACCTGTTCATCAGGTGCCCCCCACATCGAGCTTGGCGCCGTCGTGGCCGCAGTCGGTGTTCTTGTTTGCCGTCGTCACCCTGATATGACCCAACAAGTTGGCGACATGGAGAATTTGTACGGAGTTGATAGGTGGGCGAGTGGGTCCTTTTGTGCCACGAGGCCACGTGGTGCTGAGGAGGTCACTGTAGCAGCAGGGCGTTTGGCACTGTTGGGATTTGTATGCAAGAACTGACTCTATTCTACTGCATGGGTTTTGTGCAGTATTGGGAAGGCGTGTCTCCAAGTCTGTAACCGTCAGGTGAAGACAGCTTGGGCGCCTGTGTTTTGGATCTAATGATCACTCTGTGTTGTATCTACCCAAACTGCGCCACCACTGCCAACTACACAACAAACAGCAACTACAATTCTGTTGTCAGGCACCACGTAGGACCTGTCATAGGTGGAACCAGGACTCCTGTAGACTTGAAGCGGACTGACGCATTTGTGATGTTCCTTCGCAGGCGGGCAAGTTATCGGGAGGTCCTCGGGGGTGACAGGGGCACCTGAGTGAAAATAATGTGCCGGGTACACTCTACTACGCCCCATTTGGTTGGGGAAGGTATGCCACACGGGGTAGGTCGGCGCCGGGGGCTTTGTCGTTTGCGCCGGCACTTGGACTACAGCAGTTGGGGCTCGGTGAGAAGGAAACCGGCATTAATAACCTTCGATTTGGGGTCGAGGCTCAGTCTCTGATTTCGGGCCGATAAACTAGCCCATTGAACGATTTTCTTCGGCCCGAATCTGTTACATGTTCACCTTTTGCAGACAGACTTATTGAGCAGACAGCCGTGTGACGAGCGAGCGACGTGGATGGGGAGACAATACTCGCACACCCAGACAACATGCACGCGCACATGGGGTGTGGGGTTTGGTACGCACATTTCGAACGTGGCCCAATCCCCCGGCTACAGCAGTATACCATACATTTTGTGTCTTGGGTTTCCACGCCCAGGTTCGTCGAGTTCCCCAGTGCCTTACGGTCGCCACAATCTGAACCATTTATTCAACATGAGTTCTTGCCGGCGGGTCTATAGTGCTTCCGGTCACGCAACAACACGGCATTCGACCCAGTCTGATATCTATCGACGAGGTATCAATAGGTGCTTTTATTGCTGGACCAAAACAAAAACGGAGTACAATGGGGGAATCGTACGCGTTCCATGATGGTGCAACAGCATACCCCACGCCCGTATACCCTATATTGCAACGGAAGACTCCACACGACGACATCGAACGAGTCCAGCCGGTACTTCGCATGCTTGTACAAACTGAGCACCACAAGGGTACATTTTCAAATTGTTCACAGTCTTTCATATTGATTCTCGCTCCGAACGAGAGGGGACATCCTGTCGGACGGCGATACAAGCGGCGTATCCTGCGTACTACCACCTCGCCGCATCACAAGGCGTCCCTTCTTCGTACGTTCGGGCACCTGGACGCCCACAAAGCGCATAGCAGGATACCACTTTCTTCCCTTCTATTCTAACGAACGCCAACATATCTGCCTGCCATCACGGGCAACATATTGGGTTGTACTTCCACTCTTGCCGCAACTACACTAAATATACATCGTTGGTTGGAAACAGCTAGAGACAACAAGGGCCACTGGCCGCCGTGCTTCGTTCAGGACGTGAACTTCCACGGCGTTTGAAGCCGCTCGTACGCAGCACGATGTAAGCTTCCACCGCCAGTATCAGCCAAGCACAATTGAGGTGCATTGACCTCATCAGCAATGCTGTTGGTGACGACACACTTGCGATCCCGCAGCAGCGATCGCCTCAACCTCATCGGAGAAACAAGACAAACAAGGCTTCCGACACAAAGCTAAATACTGAAAGTGATCGGGACAAAAATGACCCCCCGACAAGCGCGCATTGCTTGCCGCCGGCGCAGTTCGTAAGAACAAGAGGAACCCTTCCCCTCAACACACGAATTGCTGCGGCTCAATCTATCGCGGAGAAAGGTGGCGTAATCTGCGTTGCGCCCGCTTATCCGCTCCTTGTCTTTCGGGCGTACCTGTTTCGAAGAGTAAGTTCCGGAGGGGTGACGCGGCCATCAAACGGACAAGTCGCTTGGTTGAGTTCATGCACATGACTATCGCTGGGAAAGGCGGCGTAATCTGCGTGGCGCACGCTCATCCGCTCCATCTCTTTCGGGCGTACATGGTTCGAAGAGCAAGTTCGGGAGGGGTGACGCGGCCACCAAACACACAAGCGCCTGGTCGAGTTCATGCTCAGCTGTTTTGTGTGCCGCACATCGCCGTGGAGCACCAAGGGATGCGGCACACCACTGCTGTTTGCCAATGTTGTGCAGGTGGCAACACTGCCTGTTCAACGACATGGCGAACACCCATCGTTACCGACGCTCCAGCTAGACCGATCTCGACTTCATCAATGCCGCTAGAGTAGCTCACACTTATCTCAAAACGACAAGAAGTATCTCCACCCGGGTTGCAAGTCACACAAAAAGCAAAAATAACGACAAAGGGGCTCCGCGGAAATCAATGATACCCCACTTGAGCCCCCATGATGTGTTGCCCTGCGACACCATTTGGTCACGCCATTGTCATTGCTGGCACTCCCCACACAGATGGCTGCGGGCAATGAAATAAGCAGGATACCTCGAGCATGTCATGTTCTACACGCGCAGACATTTGGTTTGCCCTGGTTTCGCTCTGAACCTGGCAACTTCCGTGCGATCAAAAGTGAAAGAGCCTGCTATTAGGCCGTTCCGCCGCTGTCAGCATCAAACTTCACGCTGCTGTATACCTACGAAGGAGTTGACGAACTCGCTCGAGACTTCGCCAGAGTAGATTACATAGGCATAGGTAGAATTGAGGGTTGGCACAACTTTGGATCTCCAGTACGAGAGTCGTTCCAGTGAAGTACTCTATCGCCTACATCGACCAAACACGCCCCATGTGCCCACCTCCAATGTTGCTTAAAATTCTCGGCAAGATCCCCCTAAATTTGACCTTCAACGCTCTGTATGCCTTAAATGGCACCATGCTGTAGACACAAGCCAAAGGTTGCTTTCGAGGGTCGGCAACATTTTGGATCGCTGCTACAGCCGGAGTTGTTAACGAATAACTGCCTGTACCATAGGAATTCGGCCGCGGTGGGGGCTCCGCGTGATCGATGCCATGTCGTCAAAAAAAATTATCGCATTTTGTGGGGACTTGCAACCCGGGTGATCTCCCTGGATACATCGGCGTTAGAGGAGGGCTGGGACATGCCGAAACGATCAACATACTGTTAGGCCCTGGGGTTACCCCCCTGCGGAGCAACAAAAAACGGCATGCTGCGAATAGCCTTTGCTTTTTTTTTTGTTTGAAGGGGGCACACAGACAGCAGTCCTACTTACTTGAGCAAAGACAAGGAACTGGCAATCAAAAATGCTCGAAGACGGTGAGGAGATGGCTCGTCTCAATCTACAATCACCTGTAATTATGCTATAGCTAGAGAAGTAGCGAAGCCGATTTCCGTTTGGTGGTTGAAAAATCCCGAAACGACGGAAATTTCGGCTGTTGACGCAGCTGGCGCGAATACCGAGACGAGGGTCAAAAATCGCCTTCGCTACTTCTCTAGCTCTGGTTTCTGCGCACACAGCTAAAAAAACCGATCCACGATTGACCTAGAAGCCGACGAGTGGCATTGATTACCAGATCACCTCCTATGGCTAAGGGTGGTAAAAACAAGGGTCGCGTGAAGTCCAAAAGTTACCCCCCTGCGGAGCAACAAAAAACGGCATGCTGCGAATAGCTTTTTTTTTGTTTGAATGGGGCACACAGACAGCAGTCCTACTTACTTGAGCAAAGACAAGGAACTGGCAATCAAAAATGCGCGAAGAATCCCGAAACGACGGAAATTTCGGCTGTTGACCCAGCTGGCGCGAATACTGAGACGAGGGTAAAAAATCGCCTTCGCTACTTCTCTAGCTCTGGTTTCTGCGCACACAGCTAAAAAAACCGATCCCCGATTGACACAGAAGCCGACGAGTGGCATTGATTACCAGATCACCTCCTATGGCTAAGGGAGGTGGTAAAAACAAGGGTCGCGTCAAGTCCAAAAAAAAAATCTTCAAAAACTTCACGACTTCTCTTCTCGAGAGAGAAGGATGCACGTTTGCGGACGCAGCGACGGCTGGGCGCGCACGCAAGGCTGCCGAGAAGGCCGACTACCCTACCCTGAAGCGTACGGCCGCTGCTACCCTCGAGAAACTCAAAAAAGCTCAGTTGGCGAAGCGTAGAGAGGCTCGAGTTCGCAAATCGGCGGAGCAGGCCGCAGAGGAGGAGCGACAATTGTTGGCGCGAGAGCGAATCCTGCGCGCCGATCTGAAGAAGGAGCTTGGGGAGGAGCAGCGACGTAGAATCGAGGCGGAGCAACGGGCGCAAGCAGCGATCGCACGCGAGCAGGCCTCGGAGCATCAGAGGCAGCAGCAGAGGGCTGCTGATGGAGAGGCGGTGGCGAACGTCCTGACCCAGCTGGGAAGCTTGCGGTTGGAGAAACAAATGCTTCAAGATCAACAGCGCGAGATGGTTGAGATTTTTTGTCCACAAGCGGCAAGCGTGATGGCGGTGCAGCAACAGCAGCACAACGGGAATCCGCTGCTTTCCGCGAAAGACCAGCTCATCCGCACCCGGATGGAGGTAGAGCAAGCGAGGAGGGAGCTGGAGGCGGCGTCGGCATGGGGAAAGGTTGCCGAGACGAGAAATGCCAATTTGAGGAAAAAGGTGCGTGCGTGCGTGCGTGTGTGTGTGATTTTATGCGCGTGTGTGGGTGTGTTTCTGCCCTCGTGTGTTTTTGGCCTTGCTGTTCCCTCCTAGTGCGACTACTTCGTATGCCTCCGAGTCCTACAGGTTGATAGAACCATCATAAGCAGGACGATACCAAGAGAGGCAGGCGAAGCTGCATGCAGCTGCTATCATCGACAGACAAATCATCGACAGACTTGGTGTTGAGAGCGAGAAAATACAGCAGCAGCAGCAGCAGCGCGCAATTTTTTTGTTTTCCCGCTCTCACAATCGCCCTGCTGTTTGCCCGTTGCCCTTTTTCTTTTTTCGGCAACAGAACGCCAGGCAGGGCAAGCGGATCGAAACGCTGTCCGCACGCAACGAGCATTTGAAAGCAACGATCGCTGCCACGGAGGGGGAATCCGCCTCGCTGGAGCCCGCGGAGCTGGAGAAAATCGTGGAGACCAGAGTCCTCGACAACCTTCGGCCTCGACAAAAAGTTGAGCTTGTCGAGGCCGAAGTGAAAACCGGTGAGGGAGGGGCAGAGGGGGGAAAGCGCAAGAAGGAAAAGCAGGGTAGGCGAGCTTATGGCGTGAGGGCGGCGCGGCTAGTGCAGAGATTTTTGCAAGCCGGCAATCCGCTCGGTCAAGTCGGGCCTCTGATTATGGCCACCATCTTTGCGGCAACGGACGTGCAGCTAGATGTACAGGGCGGCAAGACGAAATTCTGCACTCGAACGGTGAAACAACTGGCTCTCGGAATTGCGCACCTCGACCTAGCCGAGCTGATCAAAGCTATTATGAAAGCTCCCTACATCCTCATCGCCGGCGACGAATCGCTTCGAAAGGGCGACAAGAAGTACCCCATATTCGTGGCGTTTTGGGACGTCGACGCACAGGCGCCGTGGTGGGGAATGTTGAGGATATGCAGCATGAAAGACAAGACGGCTCAAACGCAAGCGCAACTTTTTCATGATACCATCACGAATGTGCTCGGATACCCCCGGCACCAGGTCTTGTTCGTGCTGTCCGACAACACGGCTTCGGTATCGGGGGAAACAGGAGGCTGTGTGGCGCTTCTACAGGATATGCTAAGGAATGACGAGCGAAAGGCGGCGGGGGAAGAACTACCTAGCGGGCGCGGGGCAGGTGCCCGAGGCAGAGGGGGGGGGAATGCACGAGGAAGGGGGCGTGTAAATACTCGAGGACGCGGGCGTGGAAATGTGAATGGAAGAGGGAACCGGAGGGGTGGGAGGGGAGGGAGGGGTGGGAGAGGCTGAGCGACTACGCTACATCAGCTGCTTGTTGTTTTCGAAGGGAATGTTGGTAAGCGTTGCTGAAGGGGTGTGTCGGGGTGCTGTGTTGGTGATGCGGCGGTCTGTATCTTGCAGGAACAAACATGAAATGCGGCTCTGGTTGTGTGTGGTTCAGTTCACATTGATTTTCGTAAGGCGTTGCGGCTGCTGCCGCTGCTGCTGCTGGTTGGAGAGCTGAACAATGACCGAACGACCGCGCGCGGTGTAGTACGGGTGAGGTATTCGATCGGCGGCTGTTTGTGGGCGTGCAAAGCGAAGCACCTCAACGTGTTTTCGGATCCCTGCGCATCATCGCACGGCATGACTTTGTTCGGCAAATTGTTTTCGACAAAATTGTTTCGGTGAATATTTTTCAACATGCATCTTTGGTTGCGTGATGCGTGGAGTGGGGTGGCACACGGCGGCGAATGCCAAAAAGAGGCCAAGCAGAAAATACGCCTCTCCAGCGCGCATGCGGATGGTGACCAGCGGTCATCCGTGCGTGCTGAACTCCAAAATTGTGCGTTTTTGTACGTTGCGCTTTGGCAATCCGCAACAAAGAAAACCATACAGCAGCGGTTGAACTTTCAACTTTTTTACGAATCACTCCTCATCACATGACTCATCCTCCTCCTCATCACTTGAGTCATCCCCCTCCCCATCGCTTGATTCATCCTCATCCTCCTCTTCCCCCTCAGAGGCGGAGGAGGCGTACACCCACGCAGACCCCTGGTGTGATGCTCTAACTTTGGCTAGCGATGCTTTTACGTCGTGGGCGCGCTTGCGGTGCTTTGATGCATGCGGGTCCGCCTCCATCGCAGCTTTCTTTTCTACCTGCGCTCGGCTGATTGCCACCTCCCCTGCAATGCCAATTTCCTTGCTCGTTGCGTCAAACCTACCGATCGCTCTGCACTCCGCTCCGCGGTACTGCCCTAGTCGCACGAGGTCAATCTCCCTCTGATCGCCCTGCTGAGTGCGCTTGTCATACAGCGAAAACAGACTCTCAACAAGCTGCTGCTGGACCGGCGCGAAATTTTTTTTGTGGCACCCCCACTCATACAGCAACCTCCATGGAATCGGGCGGGTCCGCCGTCGAAGCGGGCGGGTCCGCCGTCGAACCGGTGGGGTCCGCCATCTATGACCGGTCGGGCTGTGGGGTACTGGCTTTTTGTGTGTGCCAGCAGCCTCAGTGAGCGCAGTGACGGGTGTCCACCTCGCGCATTGCTGCGTGAACGCGCTTGACCATATTTGTCCAGTCTGTTCGTGTGTCTTTTTATTTTGATTCAAATTCCAAACGTTTTTATTGGTCCAAGAAGGAAAAGCGCAGTCTATTTGCCACGAAAAGTTCACCCGGTTTGGGACACATTTTTGGCCTCAAAATAGGGGTAACCCCAGGGTCTAACTTGTTGAACCATTCTTTGATATCTGCATCTGCAACAGCTCGGGTCATGGCGGTTTTCGAAGATAGAACATATCCGCCCCCCCTCTCCTCTCACCTGCCAATCAGCCTCACGACCAACTTTTCGCCCCTTCGGCGGAAGATATGCACTCCCAGCGGAACTTTTTCGGGGTGGCCCGATGGAAATGCCACTGCATCATCAGCCCCAGCAGCCAGCGGGGGCCAGGTCCACGATCGAGCGCGGTACGCAGGGCCCCGCAGGAGCGTTCGACGGATGGCTGCTTTGTCGGACCTGAACGACGCGCTCTTGCTGCCACTTGCCAAAAGATCGCCAATCATATCGCCAGCTGTTTGGCGTTCATCATCGGGTACTCGCTCGTCAGCCCCCGCCGCAAGCAGCACGCCGACACAGTCGACAGTCGCGTATCCCGCGGCGACGTTAAGCAACGGCCCGCCCCAGACGTAGTAGTTGGCCCAGTATCCGGTCGTCCTGTCCCCTCGCCCCACGGTGAGCAGCAACTTCAAGAGCCGTGTTCGACCAGCTTTCGCGGCGGAGGCCAAGCTGTCTGGCATCACACGCGCGGCGCCTCCGACAGACTCGAGTCCTGCCTCGAATAGCACACGGACGATTGGTTCACTATTTTTCACAACCGCCCGCCGAAGCAAATTTCCGCGTCCTTCACGATCAACCGTGGCGCGCGCGCCCAACGACAGCAGGTGGGCCACGGCTTGTACTTGGTTGCTCTCCAAGGCGCTCTGAAGCGGTGTATGTTCCCACCTGCTCACGTGCGACAACAACTTCTTTGAGAGTGATGATCCTTTCGCTTGAAGCAGCAGGTCGATCATGTTCGGGTTGCCTTGGGCCGCTGCATGATGCAGCGCAACCTGGCCTTCGCGGTCCTCTATCAGAGGGTCCGCACCGGCATCGAGCAACGCCTTCGCCATCGCAACGCAGGTCGGCGGCGAAGCGTCCGTCATACACGCATTCATGAGGCACGTTTCGCCTTGCGCATTGACTGCATCGTAGACTGCGCCTGCTTTCAAAAGTACGAGGAGGGTGTCCAACTTTCCCGATGTCACGGCCCAATGCGTCGCCCGCATTCCTAAGAATCGATGATCATCATCACCCCACGTTTGGTGCTCCATCTCAGCGCCATTCTGAAGTAAGAAATTGACGACTTCGACGCTGCCTGACCCCGAAGCTACCATGAGCGGACGCAATCGGCTGTTGCTCGATCCGCTCGGATCCGCTCCTGCTGCAATGGCCGCTTGGACGGCTGGTAAGTCGCCCTTCTGCGCCCCGCGAAGTAAACGGTTCTCCAACGACGTCAAACTCATCGTTCTATCGCCTGAAACACCATCGCCCGCACAATTCCAACAGGTGGGCAGGTTGTTGTTGGTTGCGAGTTGTGGCTCTGTGGAACTCCAAGCAAATCGGTATCAAGACCGGTGCGCGACCACAGCAAATAAGCAAGACTACTCGTGTTGCCGGCGACGGGATGGATTGTCACCAAAATCGTTCCGTTTCTCCTCCGCCAATGGTAGGAATAACAAGGGGAGGGAGGGGATGGAGACAAAAGTAATAGCCTTACAGAAAGTGGGCGCACTCAGGTGATAGTGATGCCCTCAAAGGTTAGAGGGTTCTTGGATGTGTTGCTCTTGATTCTTACTGACGTTGAGAAACAAGCGAGGGAGCACCCCGATATCATACACCAGACACACACATAAGACCAGCAGGGAAGTATTGCGCAGCAAGGAGTCCGTTCGTCGTCGCACAGAGCAGCGGACGGGGCTTGTCCCCAGCAGCGCATCACGGAGTCTACGCACCTCAACACGCCCTCTGTCAAACCAATACGAAAAGTCGCCTGTTCCTCTAGGGGATCGTTACGGTCTCTAGAGGTCCCACAGAACCGTAAAACCAAGTGTGAATGATCACGTTCAGTCCGAAGCTCCGAGGCACGCACTTTTTTTACACGAATGCCCGAGGCGCGAGGGATCAGACCATCGGCCGTCCTGCATTACTTTGGACGCTATCAGCAGGTTTGAGCTTGATTTCGGCCTCCTGCGTTAAAGTTTGGATGCGTCGCTGACCGACTTCCCGCACCGAATTGCTCCGATCAAGACAAATTTGAGCCTAAACGTTGCCTATCCTCCACCAAATTGAAGCCCCGTCCAATATACAGCTGGATTGACAAGTCCCTCGACGCTGGAATAGCTGTGTGTCGACCAATTTTGCCTGCCAACGAGAGGTTCGGGCCACACCGCTGCAACTTTGCTCGGAGTTTATTCCACCGCATGTCGCACGCAAACAACGAGTTCATGATTGATGACTCTCTCTTTCCTCGTCGGAACATCACACTCATACATAAATATGCATCCATTGCACAACAACTTCGATCTTGAACAACTAGCGCGTGCATATAGGTGTCTACCTGCCATCAAATTCCAGTCTACAACGGGACTAGCCACTTCGAGGCCGGGATTACAGTAGCCTGCCAACGACTGGGTCGGGGCACACCTCTATTCTGTCACCTACCCCACAGAGGCTGCTTACTCCGCCGCCGCGTTTGGCGGTTACATACATTGAATTGTTCTCTATTTTTCGCGAGCGCGAATAGAGGGACTTCGACAACCTTCGCCTTCAGGGAATTTCACTGGCGGCATCATATGTGCTCTCGTCTCTTGTATATTTTTGTTTGTGTGTATCAATTTTGTCGCGGCCGTTTGGAGAGACCTTAAGGATGCTAGGGGCATAGATAGATTGTAATAGAAACGGTAGACCAGGCTTTGTTTGACAGCAAGGGGCGTCTTTGGCGTGATGTTGCGGCATGCACGTTGTGTCCTGTCGTTTGTTGGTTTGTAGGAAAGATGATTCTGCTGGTCAGCTTTGGGACGACCATTGATTAAATATGCGATGATATCAAAAAGCATCATCTATCAGCGCTCTTCGTGCATTCACCACAAGTTTATTATCCACCTCCTTCTCACACCTACAGAAGTGCACACCACAAAAAAAAAAAAAACACCTGTAGAGGACCACCATGGTTGCCCGAGGCAAGCTGCAATACAATCTAAACTCAAGACACATCATACATGGCAGGTATTTAAGCAGGCTTCGCATCGCCAAAGTCCTACATACCTATCTACCGTATATGACACAAGATAACACATCCTCCGGACCGATTTTCAAAGCTCGATTTATCAACAGCAGACAGAGTGACAGAGTAGCAGCGCCGAAAACGGCGGCGTTGAAGCCGTCTGGTCGAGACCTCTCCGAAAACGTACCGTTTCGCCCATCCATCATCTTGGCCGTGGCATGATCGAGCTTCGAAAATCGGTCCAGGGTGTGTGTTTTCTTGTGTCGCATACGGTATTCAAATGGAGGACAACATGGAGCAGCGACATGTTGCCACGCCCAGGTTCGCCGCTGGGGGCCGCGCGGGTCCAAGGCTACCGCAGGTTGCATACGATCCCACGGCCCCTGGACCGGTTGTTAACGCTCGAATACTTCATCAGGAAGGGGATACGCAAAAATGGAACCACAGGTTTTCGGAAAGCTCTCTCGACGATTCCAACGCCGCCACCTTTGGGCACCGTCACTACTGTTCTTTCAGCCGAGTAGTCGAGCTTTGACAATCGGTCCAGGGGGTGTGGTATCTTATGCAACCTTCTATGTGTGGTAGCTGGTGCCGTCCACCCAAGTGCCGGGGTTGCCATCCCTCGATCCCTCGCATGTCTACGGTGTACAACAAGCCTCCAACCAGGAAGGAGTGAATGGGAGAAAAACAAACTGGTGACCACATGTTCACGTATCTCCAATATACCTCCTGCACCATACACCGTTGCCTGTCGGTTTCGAACTTCGAACCCAGCGTTGCTTCGTAGGAATGCCGCAGCAGTCAGGGTACAGGACAGCAGTTCCAAAGATATGTAGGTCTTATTGGTCGTAGTGGTGTGCCTGGCGTGAAAGTCGAAACTCATTTCACACGACTCTTTCCTCTCACCAAGTCTTCTCTCTGTGTTGTGTGTGCGTGTGCTCTCGCCCCCCCCGTCAGGCTCTCTCGCTCTGCCACACTCCTGCTTGTTGTGTGTGAGGTCTGAACAATGCCTAAGTACATGGGGAGCACACGGACTGCAACAACACGCCTGGGCACACCATCCCACCCTTTGCATGTCCCGTGCGGGTGCCCCCACCAACTTAGACAGTGCTGCACGACTGAAAAAAATAAAAAGTAAGCGGAGGAACAAAAAATATCGTTTTACACAGATTAGCAGCGCGACCGGCGTACATCCACCCAAGGCTAAAGGTTTACAGCTGTAGACTATACCAGTAGCTATCTAGGGAACTAAGATTTGCCAAATTCCGTCCACTGTAGGCTTCAAACTTATCGGCGCAACACGCAGCTCCTCCCCTAAAAAAATGTGAGACTCGTATCTACGCGGCGCAACCACCCTGCTGTGCACCCGCCAAAGCGATCAAGCACAAGAACGCGCCCACTACAGCATCAATCGCCACAAAAATTTGAGGAAAGATGGACTGAGTACCATAGAGTATATTGAAGAAGAGTTGAACTTGACTCGTGGCGAGAATGAAGAGGTAGACACAGATGAAGTTGAAAACTTGCATTTACACACAGGCACCATGCTTATTTTCTTTCACACTGCCGGCATCACCGAGCATTGGTAACGTTAGCTGCTGATCTTGCAGTTGTACAGCACTTG